GGATCCGAACCCTCGGGTGGGAGCGCCGCCGTGCTTCCCAAGCGGCGCACTATCCATTGCGCCACCGGGCCGGCCCTGTTTGTATATTTTTTAATTTATTTATTTTTATTAGCTCCCACACATAAGTGAGAACATGTGGTATTTGACTTCCTGTGCCTGGCTTATCTCACTTAATATAATTTTCTCTAAGTCCATCTGTGTTGCTGCAAATGGTAATATTTAATTCTTATTTACAGCAGAGTAGTATTCCATCGTGTGGATATACATTTTCCTTATCCACTCATCTGATGATGGGCATTTAGGCTGATTCCAACTCTTGGCTACTGTAAATAGCACTGAAATAAACATGTGAGTACAAGGATCCCTTCAGTATGATGATTTCCATTCCTTTAGGTATCTATAAATACCCAGCAGAGGGATAGCTGGGTCATATGGTAGATCTATCCGTAACTGAGAAACCTCCATACCTTTTTCCATAAAGCCTGCACCATTATGCAGTCCCATCAACAGTGTAGGAGGGTTCCCTTTCTCCACATCCTTGGCAGCATTTATTATTCCTAATCTTTTGGATATTAGCCAGCCTGACTGGAGAGAAATATCTCGAAGTGGTTTTGATTTGCATTTCCTGAATGCTGAGTGACGCTGAGCATTTTTTCATGTCTGTTGCCCATTTGTATATGTTCCTTGGAGAAATGATTATTCAGCTCCTTTGCCCATTTTTTAATCAAGTTACTTGTTTTTTTGCCGTTAAGCTGTTTGAGTTCCTTTTATTTTCTGGATATTAATCCTTTGTAAGATGTATATTTTTGCAAATATTTTCTCCCGCTCTGTTGGTTGTCTTTTCATGTATTGCTTCTTTTGCTATGCAAAAGCTTTTTAGTTTGATATACTCCCATTTGTTTATTTTTCCTTTGGTTTCCTCCACTTTTGGGGTTGTATATCTATCCATAAAGTCTATGCCCAGTCCTACTACTTCTTGAAGTGTTTCCCCTATGTTTCCATGTAGGAGGGAGGTTTTATTGTTTCAGAATGTATATTTAATTCTTTAATCCATTTTGAGTTGATTTTGGTATATGGCGAGAGAGACAGGTCTAGTTTCATTCTTCTACCTATGAATGTCCAATTTTCCTAGCACCGTTTACTAAAAGGCAATCTCTTCTTCAGTGTGTGTTCTCAGTGCCTCTGTCGAAGATCAGATGGCTGTAGGTGTATAGATTTATTTCTGAGTTCTCTATTCTGTTTCACTGGTCCATGTGTCTGTTTTTATGCCAGTACTCTGCTGCTGTGGTTACTATAGCTTTGTAGTACAGTATAACGTCAGGTGATGTAATGTCTCCAGCTTTATTTTTTTTGCTCAGGACTGCTTTGGCTATTCATGGTCTTTTGTTATTCCTTATAAATGTTATAATTGTTTTTTCCATTTCTGAGAGGAATGTCATTGGAATTTTGACGGGGATTATGTTGGATCTACAGATCACTTTGGGTCATATGAACATTTTCACAATGTTAATTCTTCCAATCCGAGAGCATGGGATATGTTTCCATCTTCTTGTGTCCTCTTTAATTTCTCTCAACAGTGATTTGTAGTTCTTATTTAGAGATTTTCACATCCTTGGTTAACTTTATTCCTAGGTTTTTAATTTTTTTAGTGACTACTGTAATGGGCTAGCTTTCCTGACTTATTTTTCTGCTAGTTGATTGTTAGAGTATAAAAATGCTACTGATTCTCACATATATAATTATGTAATTACATGTAGTTTTTATACATACATGCAGACACATACATACTTGAGAGAAAGATTTTTTTAAAGGCTCAAAGTATTAGAGTTATTTGGAAAACAAGAATAGAAATGTTGACTAGCACGCTGAAAAGTCTTTAGGGAGAGATGGCATAAGCTAGTAAAATAGTACTGAAATAGGTGGAGAGGAGAGCAAGGCAGATATATAGTAAGGTTCAGATCTGAAAGAGGGAAGAAGTATTACATATGCAAATCATTCTTATGACCTAGGCTAACAGTTGAGCCTGTGGAATACAGAAATTTTTACTGAGATATAATGGGGAGTCACTGCAATATAATTTTGTGAATTCCAAAAGAAATCAAAATAACATGCTAATATACATAAGGAAAGGTATCCCTGAAGATATAAGATCTCTTTGCTTAAAAGAATGTTGTAGTTACGCTGTAATGTTTTACCACTATGTGATAAAATTTGTGAAACAAAGGAAACAATATCAAGATGTAACTGACTTTTTTAAAACCTAAAAAAAGACCCAATCTTACTAGTTATATTTCGGAAGGCAATACTAGGGAACTATATGATTCCTTTTCAAACTTGTAAAATATAAAGTTAAAGAAAATAGCATTTATCCTGGTTTTCCTACAGACCTGTACATTAGGATAATTAACTAATCAGTGAGGGAAAACTTCTCTTTATAAACCCAATCTAGTTAACTAATAAAGTATGATAAAATTATAATGTTACCACTTTGTAATCTTAATGAAATAATGGACTTGGTCAATGATGACCAATGCCTCAATATCACAAAAAAGAGACATATAAAGACATTTTGTATCTCCCTATGGAAGTAAAATTACTACTTGAGGGGGGAATAGAAAAAAGGGAATAAAGTCATACATGAATCAAGCCTCTGGAACAAGGGTAAGCAAACTACATCCTACAAGCCAAATCTGGCCCCTTGCCAAAGGACTGCCTGTAAGTTGAGAATGGCTTTATAGTTCTTAAAATGAACGACAACAAAAATAACAATATTTAATGACAACTGAAATAATATGAATTCAAACTTCAGTGACCATGAATAGAACTTTAAAACAGCCACACCCATTCATTTAAGTATAGTCTATAACTGTTTTCTTGTTATAAGATCAGAGTTGAGTAGCTGTGACAGACCATATGGTTTGCAAACCTACAATACACAGAAAATACTACAAAACCACAGAAATGTAATCTGGAAAATCCAGACTGTGGGAAAGTTACAAGGGCAAACTACCTCATTTCTTCATTGCAATAATAATTGCAAAAAACAAACAAAACACAAAAAATGAAATCCAACCCAACTAATGCTAATAGTACTGATCTGATCATTACATCTTATGTGTAGGTGCTGATGGTCAGCTTGTATAATCAATTAAAAATAAATTAATTAAAACAAAAACCAAAAAACCGAAAACCCAACCCAACTAACCAATGCACCAAAAAAATCAGAGAAGAAATCTATTTGTTAAGAGAGACTCAGAGACATATTAGCCAAGTGCAGTGAATGGTCCCTAACTCTGCTTTAAAAAAAAATCACATTGCACAAAAAATTAAAGTAGAAAAATTTAAATAGTGGGGGCCGGCCCGGTGGCGCACTGGATAGTGCGCCGCTTGGGAAGCACGGCGGCGCTTCCCGTCCGAGGGTTCGGATCCCACATACAGACCGGCTCCCGCTCACTGGCTGAGCGAGGCGCGGGAGCAACACCGAGGCTTGCAATCCCGTTGCCGGTCCCCGGTCCGGTACGGGGGCAACACTGAGGGTTGTGATCCGTTGCCGGACACAGACAAAAGACAAAAGACAAAAAAAAAAAAAAAAAAAAAAAAAAAAAAAAAAAAAAAA